TCTTTAACTTGTTATGCATCTAGTGCCTTTATTTACCACGTTTCTGTTTTCACCAAAAATGTGCAATAAACTTCTTGGACAAGAAAACCAAAAAATAAATGCTCATGATTTTGCCGATAAAAAAAAATGTGCAATTATTTTTTTTACACTGAATCTTGCAAAGCATTAGACCTGCATCAACGTATCACAGATGCAATGCCAGGCTCCTGCAGAAACTCACAGCTGTCTGTTCGTACCTCCATAAAGGCAGACAGTTACTAAAGTGAAGAAAGAATCAATGAACAACAAGACACTCTTCAGCGCCCTCACAGTTCATTGAGAACTACAAGCTGACTGCCTCAGTGATTTTGTTAATAAAATTACATGGCTGTGAAGGTGGAGCCCCGCACATCCATGGTGTTTTTAAAAAGTGACAGTTGGTGAATGTTACAAAAGGTGAACTTATCCTTTAAAAAATCATCTATATGTCATAGGCCTCTATTACCAATAGAGGTGGGTTGAGGCTGAATATTGCAAAGAATGGCAGAACAAAATGACAAGGCGCTGTAGCACTCTCCTGTGAGCCCTAATCTACTGGATCATGAAAAAAAGTGAGCACTTTTTTTTTTTTTTAAACGGGGAAGGTGCATGGTGTGGGCTATTTACAGTTGTGTTCAAAATAATAGCAGTGTGTTGAAAAAAGTGAAATAAAGCTCAAAATCCTTCTAATAGCTTTTATTTCTATACACACAAATGCATTGGGAACACTACACATTCTATTCCAAATCAAAACATGAAGAAAAATATATCAAATTTAATTTGTGTTGTTCCTCTAACAAAATTGAAGAAAAGTGAATGTTAGACTGTTCAAAAAAATAGCAGTGTTTGTATTCTTCTTTACAAACTCAAACATTCACTATATAAACTGAAAAATGTTTGAAGATTTTGCTTTCCTTTGAATCACTTAATATTTAGTTTTTAGTTGTATAAGCACTGTTTCTGAGAACTGCTGTACATCTGTGTTGCATGGAGTCAACCAACTTCTGGCACCTGTGAACAGGTATTCCAGCCCAGGATGATTGGACTACATTCCACAGTTCTTCTCTATTTCTGTAATGTACAGCGCTGAGCGAACTATTGGCGCTTGATAAATACTGTATAATAATAATAATATTTCTTGGTTTTGCCTCAGAAACTGCATTTTTGATGTGACCCCACAAGTTTTCTATTGGATTAAGATCCGGGGATTGGGCTGGCCACTTCATAACGTCAATCTTGTTGGTCTGGAACCAAGATGTTGCACGTTTACTGGTGTGTTTGGGGTCGTTGTCTTGTTGGAACACCCATTTCAAGGGCATTTCCTCTTCAGCATAAGGCAGCATGACCTCTTCAAGTATTCTGATGTATTCAAACTGATCCACGATCCCTGGTATGCGATAGATAGGCCCAACACCGTAGTATGAGAAACATCCCCATATCATGATGCTTGCGCAACCATGCTTCACTGTCTTCACAGTGTACTGTGGCTTGAATTCAGTGTTTGGGGGTCGTGTGACAAACTGTCTCCAGCCACTAGACCCAAAAAGAACAATCTTACTTTCATCAGTCCACAAAATGTTGTGCCATTTCTCTTTAGGCCAGTCAATGTGCGCTTTGGCAAATTGTAACCTCTTCAGCACATCTTTTTTTTAACAGTGGGACTTTGCGGGGGGCTTCTTGCAGATAGCTTGGCTTCACATAGGCGTCTTCTAATTGTAACAGTACTCACAGGTAACTTTAAACCTTCTTTGATCTTCCTGGAGCTGATTGTTGGCTGAGTCCTTGCCATTTTGGCTATTCTTCTATCCATTCGAATGGTAGTTTTTCGCTTTCTTCCATGTCTTTCAGGTTTTGGTTGCCATTTTAAAGCATTTGCGATCATTTTAGCTGAACAGCCTATCATTTTCTGTACTTCTTTATATGTTTTTCCCCTCTCCAATCAACTTTTTAATCAAGGTACGCTGTTCTTCTGAACAATGTCTGGAACGACCCATTTCCTCAGAATTTCAGAGAGAAATGCACTGTAACCAGCATGTACAACATTTGCTGCCTTCCTTCCTTAAATAAGGGCAATAACTGCCACCTGTTTTTCAAAGAATGAATGAGCTCACTAATAGAACTCCACACTGCTATTATTTTGAACATGCCCCTTTCAATTAGTGATTCAATTACACAGAATCAGCAGCATACATGTCATGACTGTTGGGTCTGTTGTATTTCTATTACTCTACTACACCTGCTAGTAAATTATTTGTCATGTAGAAATATCATTTCTACCAAAAACAGTGATTGATCAGGTTAGTGATGTCCGACTGCTATTATTTTGAACACAACTGTATATAATACAAACAGATGCTGGAGTTGGGCTTTAAATTTACATCTGTACTTTGCCCATGCAGGCAAAGCAACAGGTTCACTAAATTGCTGTCCTCCCCAAATACTCACCTTAGTTTTGCTCCCCTGCAACTCCTTTTGGCCAGCAAATACTCCAAGCCATTAAACACACTGTCCCTTCCCCATGTGACAGCACTGGTCACTTGAGTGGTCAATCACTAAGCAACATTATTATTATTAATAATAATAATAATAATAATAATAATATAGTACAGGATTTATACAGCGCCAACATTTTGCGCAGTGCTTTACAACATAAAGGGGGACAGTTCATTTTACAATGCAGTTCAATACAGAATGAACACACAGGCCCTGCTCATGGAGCTTACAATCTAAACATCTCTGTCTCATGCCAGGAAGATGAAGGCATCATATGCTGCCTATACCAAGAAGTAGCGTCCAGGTGAACTATATACACAGCAAGAATTCAGCAAACTTCTCTGCCAATTCATACATTTCTCTCTTCTGAAGGAACTGCTGTTTGTCTTACCATGTCCTTTATCAAGTACACTGACAATTGGCAAAGTGAGTCATTATATCACCTCAACAATATCAATGTTGTAAGAAGAAACACTGAAGTGTCTGCATCCCTTTAGGCCAGGACGATACTTAGCAAATTTCTTAATAAAATGAAACTTGCGGTGCAGACAATACCTGTATTTTACTGCTAGCTCAGTGCAGATTTCTGGGCAAGGCAGTGAGGAAATTATACAAGCCAAAAATAAGGGGGAGTTTCTGTACATTGTACAGAGTGCTTATACTTTACCATGCTACAAATAAATGACATTTGCATTTTGACAGCATTAGAACACACCAGTGGCAGCAGACTGAAATAGAAAGGCTAAAAGACAAAAATCATTCATGAATGTATTATGAAAAAGTGAAATGGGATTTGCGCGACAGTGTTTTTCTAATGTGACCATAAAGCAAAGTCCTCTTTAACTGCTTCCCTGCCTCTTTATAGCAAAACTACAGCTACATGGCGGCAGGGCTGTGCAAATATATATATATCAATCCCAGTATACGTGATTTGCACCCAGGTAGCTGGCAATTCTCTGCCGGCACCCAGCGATTGGTATGGGAAAAGCTGACAGTGGAGAGACCTGTGTGTAAACAACACAGGTCTCTCCCCTGCCAGCTAGGGCATGCTGCTCTGCATCTCTCTGCACAGCATATCTCCCTAGTAAAAACACACACAGCACACAGTTAACCCTTTGATCGCCCCAGATGTTAACCCCTTCCTGCCCAGTGTGATTAGTACAGTGCCAGTGCTTTTTATTAACACTGATAACTTCTTTAGTGTTACTGGGAATGTCAGTGGCAGTTAGTTCCCCCCCAGTGTCAATGCCTGCCGCAGTCCCACTATAAGTCGCTGATTGCCACCATTACTAGTATGAAAAGAATAAAAATTCCAGTATACTCTATATACCGCCATTTGTAGATGCTATAACTTTCACGTAAACCAATTAATTTACACGTATTGCCTAAATTTATGACGAAATTTGATTTTTTAAATTTTTCTATTGGATATGTTTTAAAGCAAAAAGTCAAAAATATTGGGGTTTTTTTGTTCAAAATTGTCTGTCTTTTTTTGTTTATGGCGCAAAAAATAAAAAAAGCACAGGTGATCAAATAACAGCGCCGTATCACAAAAAATGGACTGGTCAGGAAGGGAGGTAAAACCTCAGGAGGGCAAGTAGTTAAAGTGTTACTAAACACACAACAGTAAAAGCAGTCTGCATATGCAGTAAAGCATGCTTGTTATACTCACTGTGGAACCTAAGGGGTTTATCCCCCACATTGTGTAAAAAGGCTGTTTGATCCTGTCTTACATGATCCTCCCCCTTCTACTGTCCCCAATCCATCTGCTTATAGTACAGAGCTCTAGGAGTCCCTCTGCACATGCTCAGTTTAGTGTGTATTGCTAGAGTTTTTTTTCTTTGGAAGGGTGCAAGTGATCAGCACAAGGCCAATCAGCACTGTCAAGACAGAGGGTCAAGGGTTATGCAGCCTCACAGAACAGTCAGAGCAGAATGAAAGCACCTCCTACAAGATTAACCAGTGCTTCGCTGGACACTGATAGAAGCCACAAGACTTCTAAATACTGCTGATGAGAAAAGGTATTTAGCAGTTTACTGTTACTAAAATAATTGCATTTTCATGTTCTGTGTACTGTGGGAGACCAGATATAGTGAATTCAGGGTCCTGAGTTTAGTAACACTTTAACCGGTCTTATGACATGACCGTATTAAAACCTGTAAAAGTCCAACTCTGGAAGACTGCAATAAAAACACATCTTCTAATAGTCAGGAAGGCTTAGACATTTGTCAGGATTTTACAATGGTCTGTGTTCTCATGAGGGAGATTTAACGTTACTTCCTGTGCAGATGACATTTGACAGTATAAGAACAAAAGAGAACCCCAGAAAAAACCTCCTGAAAAAGGGACACAGACAGCACCAAAATACAGACCTAACAGAGATTCTAACCCTTCCCATTCTATCCAATACTACTGGAAAATATTGGCTGGAATGTGGGCTTTAAAAAACAGGTTATTACTGCATATTTTACATATTATCATCTACTTACCGGTTGGGGCTTCTCCCTGGAATTGCATTTCTTAATGTGTTTTTCCAGCTGGTCCTCATACACTGTGCTATGAGAAAGAAATAAAAAAGTACACAAAACATAACTGTTCAAGCATTACATGTTATCCACAGATAATAGTGGCTTGTTAGATGTAAAAAAAAAAAAAAAAAAAAGAAGGAAATCTGTTGTATGGTTTGCCTCGAATTATTAAGGTTGCTGCCAACATTCTCCATGCCACTTGTAGTTGATAGTTCCTCTCCCAGCAAAAAAAAGATCCAAACAAGGGTGTTGCAGATTCCACATAGGCATCCTGGCAGTAAATTTGTGAGGACAGAACCCAGCCAACAACTATGGGCTTATTTGAATGTTGCAGAAATGTGCACTGCTCTGCATTTCATCAGTGGCTACATACAATGTAGATGACAGACATGCACAAATGACAGTCTATATTTATCCCTATGGATCTCATTAGGATACAGTGAGGATGAGAGAAGACAAAAACTCAAAATGTATGGTAATGAGCCGTTGTGCATCCAAGTTTCTGTTCCTGCAGTCACATTCAGTGGGTCTGTGTAACAGTTCTATTCATACACAGAAGGCATGAATAAGCCCTCCTACTTCACTTAGAATTTCTTCACATTTAAAGTGATTCTAAAGTTTGTTTTTTTTCTAAAATAGGAAACAAGTCCTACTTACCTGCCTTCTGAGTGCCCCCATAGCACGCAGCTTGCTATAGGGGCACGTGTGCAGCTGAAAGTGCAGCTGCTCTAGATCTGAGGGGAACATGCAAGGAAAATAAAAAAAACAGCATTTTTGCTTGCAAATGATTGGATGAAAGAAATCAGCAAAGCTTCGGCTTCGCCTCATTTCAAAGCTTCCCCTCAGATCTAAAGCAACTGCACTTGCGGTAAACAGCCTATTTGCTTTAGTAAATCAACTCCCACTGCTGCTGAGAGTCCTGTGAGAAAGCGGAGAGAAGACAGCACTGCTGCAGACGTTAATAGCACTGGATCAAGATCAGGCTCAGATAAGTTTTTCAGGGGGAAAAAACCTGCGCTACACCCCAGACAATACGATATGTGAATAAATGTGTGAATAAAATATATATATTCTGAAACAACTGAGCTTTCTGTGACGTCACCTAGTTCCGGCCGGTGGTCTGACACCGCAGGAATTTTTAATGTTTACACTCCCTTTATGCACCTTATCTATGTAAGTGCAACACTTTAATACATTCTTTGCTGGTTTATCGTGTTGCACTATGAAGTTTTCTTCTTCTGTTTTAAACCTTTCCTTGCATGATGTGAAGAGCTGGTCTGATGTGATGGATTAGTTCAAGTGAACCTGCAGCTGTCCATTCATCTCCTATTCATCTCCTTGATATGGCTAACTAGGGTGTCAGTGTGGGATCTGAACACCATCTGCTCGTTTGATCTCTTGACTGGAGATCAAAGTGTCTGGTAAGAGGCTGATTTTTTTCTTTTATGTCAAGCATTTGTGGACACCTATGCACTTTCCGTTGTAGGAGATCTTTAGCACACAGCACTGTGTTATTGGATTTTGGGACTTTTAAATATTTAATATATGAATGTGGACTTATATCATTTCACTTAATTTATGCACAGGTTTTATGTAGCAACATTTATTTGACTGATTATTGTTTACAAGTTTTTCAGGGGGGCTGGGGGGGGGAGCTGACATGGAAAGGTTTTTACCTTAATGCAGAGAATGCATTAAGTTAAAAACCTTTTAGAACCACTTTATTAATCCTAGTTAAAGTGTAATCCCTGAAATAGACCCAGAATAGAACGTATTATAAAAAACAAAATAAGTAACTGAGAGTAATAGCTTTATTGGCTAACTGCAGTAGAAATCACAGCCAGCTAGGTGCATGGCCCACTGCAGTCACCCATTAACCGCCTCCTGCCCGCCATATAGTCCAATGACGGGAGCAAGGCGGTTCTCTCGTTCTGGGAGGACGTCATATGACGTCCTCCCATTCTCACCACACATGCGCGGCTCTGGGAGCGCACAGCGCAGCCATCGGTGGTGCGCCGTGTCCCTCAGACACAGCGGATCCACGGAAAGAGCCGAAGATGTCAGCTCGGTCATGTGATCAGCTGTGTCCAATCACAGCTGATCACATGTAAACAGGGAAATGCTTGTTATTGGCATACTGACAGCTCCAGAGGAGAGGAGAGCCGGTAATCGGCATTCCTCAGAGGGGACGTCTACACTGATCATCAGAGCACTGATAATCAGTGTGCCCTGATGATCAGTGTAGCCCCAGCAGTGTCACCTGTCAGTGTCCATCAGTGCCATGTGTCAGTGCTCATCCATGCCACCTGCCAGTGCCCATCAGTGCCACATTTCAGTGCCTACCAGTGCACATCAATGCCACATATCATTCCCCTACAGAGCTGCCTTTCAGTGTCACCCATCAGTGCCACCTATCAATGCCAGGCAGTGCTACCTATCAGTGCTGCCAATCAGTGCCGCCTATCAGTGTGCATCAGTGCCGCCTATCAGTGCCCGTCAGTGCTGCCTGTAGCAATTGTGCACACAGAGATGGATGCGATCCTCCATTTTGGAAAAGGCCTCCATCTTGTATCATCTCTACTCCCAAATCAGCTTCCCTCCAAATCCCCACTCCCTCACTGTTGAGTGACATGTGGTCTGTATGAGGCAGAGATCACAGGCAATCAGGCTCAGTGGGAGAGCTCCAGAGTTATAAATCCAACACCAGCTGGTGTCCAGGTGTCTGTTAGCTTCTCAATCTGAGATATCGTAAAGCCATAAACCAAGTTCTTCACTGAGCTTCAAAGACATTCCAGATAAGTCGTAAAACAGACATCACATTCAAAATCCACTTTCCCCTATGATTTCATATCTTGGAATATGAAAGACCTACAAGCAGACCAGACATATTCAGATCAGTCACTTTAATACAAGTCGTCTGATATATTACACCCCCTAGCTGACATCTACAGGAGAGCAGAAAATGATATCTCTTTAACCGTCCCAAGCAGGTATGTCATATTTCATATCTAAACGTTCAGCAGATGCTTCTGCATATTAATCTACTAGTGGCTAGGCTGCTACATGCACCGAGGGTAACTTATTGATCATGATATAATCTGCAAGGGATTTTGGTTCTAGCTGGGGTCTCCGTCTGCAACACCCTCCCCAAATGAGACGATTGGTTCTCTGCTCCAAGGAGACACCCTGCTGAGTTCCTAGAAAAGATGTTATGCGTGGAGCAGAAGGTTAAGCTAAGTTGAGTTAAGCTGAGTTGAAGATTCTCCCTTGTAACATCGGAACTAACTTTGGGAGACGGCCCTTTTGCTCTGAAACTTGAACGCTGCTTAAACCAAGGCTTTTGGCAAGTACTTTACTGCTCTAAATTTCTTTGTTATCTCTTTGCTGTGTTATTGCTCTCTGTATAGTTTATATATATATATATATATATATATATATATATATATATATATATATATATATATATATTGGCTACATCTTTTTCTGTAAATATTGTTATTGCACCCTTTTGACCTTTTTAGTAGTAAATCCTATTATCTAAAAAGTGTTGAACTGTTTCTAAAGCTCTGTAATGAAAACGAAGAACCCCTGTCTCTGAAGAGTCCTACTGTGTGTTTAAACCTCTATATACCCTGCCTGCAGTGACAGTGGTATACAGACGATTATTCAAACATCATAGTGTTATTGCTGATATTGCAGAGTTTCCTCTTTCTCTGTACAAAAAGGAGGTGGTGGCAGTGTGAAGGGTTAATTGCATAATTAACCTGACCCAGTAACAATCGCTCCCAGGCTGCAGGTACACAGATTGTGGTCCATTAGCTGGAAAATCTTTGTGCAGGGTGCAGCTAGGCGTGGCATTGTTACGCACGTGACAGCGCAGTTTTAGATTGGCTAGTCCTTCGGTCATGAGTTTGGTGAGAAGGGCTGGGGTCTGAAGCCACGACCCTCACACTGCCTATCAGTGCCGCCTATCAGTGCCAGTCAGTGCCGCCTATTAGTGCCATATATAAGTGCTGCCTTTCTGTGCCCATCAGTGATGCCTGTCAATGCCCATCAGTGCCACCTACCAGTGCCATCTATCAGTGTCCATCAGTGCAGCCTATCAGTGATCATCACTACAGCTTCATTAGCGCACATCAGTGAAGGAGAAAAATCACTTATTTACAAAATGTTATAACAAAAACTAAGAAAAACACTTTTTTTTTTTTTCAAAATTTTCAGTGGTTTTTGGTTTAAGAAAAAATAAAAAAACCAGAGGTGATTAAATGCCACCAAAAGAAAGCTCTATCTGTCACAAAAAAATGATAAAAATTTCATATGGGTATAGTGTTGCATGACCGCGCAATTGTCATTCAAAGTGTGACAGCGCTGAAAGCTGGAAATTGACATAGGCAGGAAGGGGGTATAAGTACCCTGTAGGCTAGTGGTTAAAGCTGAACTCCATGCATATAGGTAAATACACATACAATAATACATATAAGGAAGTAGTTTTACTTGCCAAAACATTTGTATTTCTGGCTATCCAGTCCTGAGTTAGTACAGCTATGTATGGCAGGCCAGAAGACCACATTTTCTTTTGCCGAAACCCTTACAGATGTTGTCCCTCCCCCAGGATTTGATTGGGCAGTGAAAGGAAAATGAGCAGACTAATGAGCTCTACTCTATTTGTATCACTATACTCATGGCACTGTAGCACAGCTGATTGGCTCCTTTTGTTGCTTCTTCCTCCTCCAGTCTGAGCTCTACTAGAGTCTGATATCAAGCACTTGCTTTTAAAGAAATACATTTAGTGATGTATCCATACAAACATAACTACACTAATTTGGGTAGTTTATAGGTGACTGGAGTTTAATTTTACATTTTTAATCCTCAGCTACTTTTGTTGTTTTGACAAGTACTATTCAGATAAAACATCAAATCGCCTAAGGAAGACTCACTGTTTGGGGTCCAGAGGACAAGGAATTCTTCTTCTGCTGTTTGTTTCCTGCAATAAAACCAAAAAGATTTACCAGTTTTTGTTTTCAGATCCTCCCAGGTGTAGTGTCCAAACATACAGGGAGATTGCTGCACTGAATTAGACAGCCATAAATGGTCAGATGTCTACCAAATTAGAACTGAGATCCATCAGAATTACTCATGTGACAATTGAAGTAGTGCATAAACATTTAAAGTATATCTAAACCCTGAACAACAATTTAACATATTCCAGCATATTATTCCTTTAATGTACTGGCTGTTTTTTTTCTTTTTAGCCTTTTTTCTTTTATGTTCAACTGGTGATCTTGCCAATAGTAAACTTCCTGTCCTGGGGTAACAACGCTGTACTGTATCCATGGAGCACACCACTCTCTCTCCGTAACATAGGCTGGACATTTTCTGTAGTTTGCCAAGTTAACCTAGGCAGGGCTGCCTGCCATTCATTCCCAGTTCAAGTCCCATGTTCTACCGCTGTCAACAGTCTTGTAGTTCTCAATTGAAAACAAGCACAGTAATCACTGCTATCATAGTCCATTGACATTTCTCCAGCTCTCCAACTCAAAGCCCTTACCATGATATAGACAGAGTCTCCAGGAGCCTGACATTGCACCCGGGGACCACTGATGGCGAGTGTAATGCTTTGCAAGCTCCCGTGAAAAAAAAATATAATATAAAAATGCTTTTAATTGTATATTTAAACAGAACAAAACAATGCAAATAAGAAAAGTTGATTCTTAAGGTTTACATATGCTTTATTGTCTAAAGTTCAAAACTAAAAAGTCAACATTAAGAATAGTTGAATACTCAAGCTAGATGAAAAGAAAACACACATTCTGACTGCAGTGCACATTTATTCAAGATTCCAGTCCAATGTTCCTCTGTAATATACTCCTATAATTTGGAAGACTTAATGGCCTCTGAGCCTCTATTATTCTACTTTTAGCACAAAACACCCACCCCCATGTTGAGGGCATGTGGCCTGGTATGGTTCAAGAGGGGGCTGCGTTCGCTTGCCCCCCCCTTTCCTGACCTGCCGGGCTGCATGCTCGGATAAGGGTCTGGTATGGATTTTGGGGGGGACCCCACATCATTTTTTTTTTTAATTTTGGCATGGGAGTTCCCCTCAAAATCCACACCAGATCTGAAGGGCTTGGTATGGATGGGAGGGGGGACCCCAAGCCATTTTTTAAATTATTTTTTTTAATTGCCGGCAATTCTTTTACATTCAACTGTCAGTGGGGAACCCCGCTGACAGCTGAAACAATAGCAGCACATGGTTGTCACTACTAAAATACTGCATGACTTGATAAAATAACTCATGCGGTACTTTAGTAGAGTTTACTTTTTTCTGATCTCCAGAACAGATTAATTGGTTTTCAATGCATTTCTATTGGAAACGGCGTTTCGGTTTACGAATTTTTCATTATGCAAAAAGTCCTGCAGAATGAATTAAATTTGTAAACCGAGGTATTACTGTATAAGAAAACAGAGAGAGATGAGGATACTATTTATTATGGATTAGAGCAGCTGTAAAAAAAGAAAAATGTTAATATAAGTCCGGCGGATAAAAGGGGGAGGTGTGGTCCTTCTGGATAGAAGAGACTACGAAACAGAGATGGGTAGGATTTTGAATGATGGAGATACATATGAAAAAATCAAAGGGAATCCTATGAAAAAAATTTAAAAAAAACAACTGAATAGTTTAATTATTAAAAGCCAAAGATATGAAAATAATAAATGGAAAAGAAGCACAATATCTGATCCCCTCAAGTGGTAACGTTCCAATATATCTATTACTTACCATTGATTCATAGGAGTTTAACCCAATCCCCAGGTAGGCCTATTGTAAGTGGCATAGGTTCCGTACACTCTAGGATTGGGGAATATATAGACTTATTTCTACAACCAATAGTAAAACAGATGTCAGCATACCTTAAAATGGACAAGATGTTATTGATATTATTGAAAATATGGAGATTACTCATAATATTATATTAGTTACTACAGATGTAAATTCGCTTTACACCAGCATTAAACATGTAGATGGGGTGAATGCGGTTAATTGGGGCCTTAAAAAATATATGGAGATTCATAGAACACAAAGGAAGTTTATAATCAAACTATTGGAATTTGGAATGTACAATAACTATTTTTGGTATGGGGGAGAATTCGATATTCAGAAAAAAGGCATAGCGATGGGTGCGAAGTTCACAGCAAGGAGAATTCATGAAGATATTCAGAAAAAAAAAGGTTTAAAATTATGGAAAAGGTTTATTGACGACATCCTAGTTATTTGGGAGGGGGATATGGTTTAATTAAATGTATTTTTAAAGCATATAGAGGATAATTCATATGAATTGGCATTCTCACAATCCACTGATGTCATATCGGTTAATTTTTTAGACTTGAATATTTTCCAGGAGGATGGAAAACTATATACTAAAACATATTTCAAGGCCACTGACTGGAATGGTAAATTCCTACTTTTAGTTGTCACCACCCACAGTGGCTTATCGGAGTCCCAAAAGGACAATTTTGTCATAGTAAGAGAAATTGCTCTAGGTTAGTGGATTATATGATCGATCGGAATTGATCAAATGTGTTATTGAAAAGGGCTATGATTCTGACAGCGAGTGAGGTTTGTAATACATAAAGGATATATAGGAGGTAGAAAGGAAAAAGTTTAAAATCAAGAATAAACAGAAAGGAAAAGGGAGATTGGAGTATGCATTTGTCTCTAATTATAGTTGCCAATATAAAGACATGGAGATGATTATTAAAAGACACTGGCCTATTATTAAAAGAGATACAATTTTGGGTCATTTACTTCCCAACCTTTTATATATAGAAAGGCATCCAAATTACAGAATAAGCTGGTAAAAAGTATTATTTCCACCCCAAAAAACATCAGTAAAAGGATGTTTGAACTAAAAGGTTTCTTTCCGTGTAAGAAATGCAATATTTGTAGAACAACAGGATTTAAAATAAGAAAAATAGAAAGTTTTACATCACAAGTGACAAATAAGGAATATAGGATTAATAAATGTATTACATGCACTACCCCCGTTACCTACTTGTTGGAACGTTTGTGCAAATTCCAATATGTGGGTTGAACTACCAGGCAATTGTGAACATTCAAAAAATAAATAAATTATTGTGGCGCCAAATACTAGAAGTGATATAATGAAGAATAAATTGATGTTTAATTAATATTTACCCCTTTTGCAGCTGCCCCTAAAAAGTGAAAGTGACACTTATATGCAAACTAATAATAAATAGGTAGGTGCTGTGCATAAAATGAAAAGGAGTTCACCCAAGTGAACACAATATAATTGCTGGATATTGGTTATCTGTGGGTTGACAACCCGTTGGTAAACTATTCATCAAACAATATAATCAACAGACATATATTAATCCTATTGCCATAAAAACGTCCTTGTGCTTCTACCACGAACTAAATAAACAATAAGTGTAACAGTCTTTTTTTATAGCTCAATAATGGTGACAAGAAGATCAATGGATCCACACCTCGGTGTAATATTATTAGTTTACCAGGAAATTGTATATGAGAATAAGAGAGCATGTGTCGAATATAAAGAAAGGGAAAAAAGATCATAGCCTATCTAGGCATTTTAAGGATGCTCATAGTTGTGATCCCTCCCAGTTGAAATTCTGCGGAATAGATAGAGTGGATGATCATTGGAGGGGTATTAATAGGACTAGAGAAATCTCCAAAAATGAAACCTATTGGATATATGAGGTAGACACTCTGGGGTTTATTTACTAAAGCTGGAGAGTCCAAAATAAGACTCCCTTCTGCATAGAAACCAATCAGCTTTTAACCTCAGCTTGTTCAATGAAGCTTTGGCAATGAAACCTGGAAGCTGATTGGTTTCTATGCAGAAGGGAGTCTGATTTTGGACTCCCCAGCTTTAGTAAATAAACCCCTCTGTGTCAGGAATGGACTTGCCAGTAATGGTGGGACTCACCTGCCTTGTGGGCTGCAGTACCAGGGCTGGCCAGTGGGTGCTCTCAGCAATCAGAGACTCAACCCTGCAGTCAGCCAAACACCTGAAACTGATTATGGAGGTGTATTTAAGGGATGGCCAGACCTGCAGTCTGGGCCTTGGTGTGTGTTTTTCCATGAGCCCCTGTATCTTGTAACCTGCGTTCCTGTTCCTGTTTCTGCCTCTGCCTGACTTGTTTCTGACCCTGCCTGATCCTGACCTCTGCTGACTTCTCCCGTTTTGATCCCTGGCTTGTGACCCTGACCATTCTCTCCGCCTGCTCCTCCTGTACCTACCTGCCCGATAGTTATCGACCCGGCCTGCCTGATTACGTTGTGCTCTATATGTGTATGTACCTGTGTATCTGTATCAGTTTAGGTTTGGGTTTGTTTCACCTTGTTGTATGTATTTGTGTTAGCTTGGGGTTTGGTGCACTGCGTTTATGTTTGTATTGTTAGTCTTTAATAAATTATATTGTTTATAACATATCTGAAGCCTGCGTTTCCCTGCGTCAGTTCACATACCTCTGGTCATACCTGGAGCCCTGACATTACACCAAGGCCGATCCTGACCAGAAGTGGCTGCACAGGGAAGCCATCTTGGCTTGTTGCTGGGAAGGATGGATCTTGATGAGGTTGTGTATTTGTCGCTGCTGGTTTTTGATGACAGAGAATATGCTTATCAGACTCTGAGGGAGTATACCCGGGATCAACTGCTAGAATGTATACGGATCGCTCATGTTCTAGTAGATCAGGGCACAGAGTTCTCTGAGGTGAAACCTTTGATTCAGGTTTGTGTAGAGTTGGCTTCTTCTGGTACCCCTGAAAGCAGGAATGAATTTTTGCCACCATTTAGTGCAGACCAGGTAGAGTCCCTGGTATGGTTATTAGAGGATGATGTGGATTGCTTCTTGGAGCATTATGCTGCATGTTCACCACAGGTATTAAGGGATTGTATAAACGCAGTGCAGTCTTTGACCAGACAGGCTTTGTGTAAGCTGAGC